AAAGTTAGCTCGATATCGCCATGCTCTATTTTCAAGCACTTACAGTCCAAGGCAGGGCAAAGGGGCAAAATACCAGGCGTTTCTTGAGCAAATGAATTATCACTGTTCTATCATCCTCTGTCTCTTTGTGATAAAGATGTTTGACCTCGTTTTTTCTGACTGGAAAATTTGCATCTTTTTACATTGATCATAAAAGTTTACATCATGAATATATCCCTCCATTGCATTTTGTCATCCCTACTGTTCAATCAATCAATCAATCAATCAATTTTTATTTGTATAGGGTCAACTCATAACAAGTGTTATCTCGTGACAAAAAAGAGGTAAAAGACCTTACTTATTGTTATGTTACAAAAAGCAGGTAAAAGACCTTACTCATTGTTATGTTACAAAAAGCAGGTAAAAGACCTTACTCATTGTTATGTTACAAAAAGCAGGTAAAAGACCTTACTCATTGTTATATTACAAAGACCCGGCCTATCCATCATGAGCACTTTAGCAAAGCAGCAAAAGTTACAGTGGTAAGAAAAAACTGCCTTATTAAAAGGCAGAAATCTTCGGCCTCATGACGAAACAGCCTTCACAGGACTAGACTGCACCGGGCTTGGATGTTGGCTTCTTGAAGCTGTTTGCCTCAGGCCAAGAACGAGCAATTCCAATTTTTTGTTGTTGTCAATCAGACTTGAAAAGAGGGGTGGGAGACTTTTAAAAGGAAAAAAAAAACATTATAATGTTTTAAAGAACTTTGTGTTGGCAAAACCAATGTCAGGGTCAACCAACTTCACCATTATCTATCTTCTGTTACTATGAGCTGCTATGTGTTTACACACACCTGGTTTGACCTTCCTTTTGCCCTCTGTAAGTGGTTTGTCTCTTCATTTTCCTCTGTATTCCTCCTTCCCTTTGTTTTTCTGTCTGACTTACCCCCTCCTTCTGTTTTCTCCACTCCCCCCCTCTGCTCTGTATTTCTCTCTGTCAGATTTTGTTTACAAACCCTTTCATCTGGATATTGCTTTATATGTAAAACCCTTCTATTTGAATGGAGTTTTATTTAAAACCCTGTCATTTAAATGGCTTTTAAAAAGACAGAGGAATGAAAAGTCAACAAGGACCCATGATTGTGTTTTCTGACAGGACTCACACACATGCTCACACACACATATACACACACACACACACACACACACACACACACACACACACACACATGCACACACACATGCACACACACACACCGCCTGCTTGTCTACATGCATCTGAGTCTATTATTATGCTAATGACTCTCCAGTCTCCACATGTCCCCACAGCCTCTGCGCACAATGTTACACACACACACACACACACACACACACACACACACACACACACACACACACACACACACACACACACACACACACACACACACACACATGCACATAGATTTTTACGCTGAGCTCAGCAGTATAGCGGCACTCGCAGGCTAGCAGGAAAAATAACGAGAAGTGGACAATGTCACCGCCATATAAACAGTCCAGACAGAATTGATACTATCTTGAGTGTCATCAATCTGGGAAGAGAGAACATCAGTGCATTCATCTCTGGCTTACTGCAGTGAGGAAACTACAATAGATAAAATGAACAACACTGTTCATTCACTGTTGTTGTCTCAAAATAACCTTTTATTATTTTACAGTTTTTCTGTAAATTACTTCATGCTTCTTATTGTACATGAATTCAACTGGAAACTTAGATTCAGAAAACAACATTAGCATTCACTCCCTTGGTTACTACTGTTATACATTACAATACATTAAAAACTCAAGAAGTCGTTTGATTATTCTGGTAGCATACGTACAAGGCAACTGCAAAGTCTATTTTGAAATATCAGAACTCATGTGAGCAAAGAAGTTAATGTTGGCTGTTATCCAAAAGAAGAAAATGTGTTGTTTTACTTTTTTTTTTTAAGTCGCACCACATGGCCCGCTGTATTCTAAATCCATTGTCATTTCAGCTGCTGCTCAATCGGAATTCAATTCAATTTATTTTGTATAGCGTCAATTCATAACAAGTGTTATCTCAAGACACTTTACAAAAAGCAGGCAAAATACCTTACTCTTTGTCTGTTAACATTACAAAAGAGCAGGTAAAAAGACCTTACTCATTGTTATGTTACAAAAAGCAGGTAAAAGACCTTACTCATTGTTATGTTATAAAGACCCGGCCTATCCATCATGAGCACTTTAGCAAAGCAGCAAAAGTTACAGTGGTAAGAAAAAACTGACTTATTAAAAGGCAGAAATCTTCGGCCAGATCCCCGGCTCATGACGAAACAGCCTTCTCAGGCCTAGACTGCGCCGGGGTTGGAAAGGGATAGGGGGAGAGATGGGATAAGATGCAGGAAGAGGGATAGGGAGCAAGGGGGTGGGGGGAGGCAGACCGTCCATCAACAATCCGGTGGGGAGGGGGTGGGAGGGTGGGGTTGTTCTGGCAGGCCGTCAACAAACTACGCTTACGTTTGGCGTTGTGTCCTGACTCGCTGTTTAACAGAAAAGCTTTCATTAATCATAACGTGAACACATAACAGTGGATACGACTTTCAGTCAGTCAGAGTCTCTGGTGGTCGTCACTCGTCGTTATAGTAGCGTTGCTTCATGGCTCTGTACTTCCTCAGGTAGTAAAGTGCCTCCAGCTCTCGGGTCACGTATGAAGCTGAAGGAATGAAATATTCATACATTTTTCAGATTCATTACGTTCATAAGAATTATGATATATATTTCCAAACCTCAGGGTGCATTGAGAGGAATGTGGCTGCTGCGTGAATACATGAAAAGGACTTTTGGGGGGGCTTTATGGAAAGACTGATAAAGTTGTACATCTTTGGAAGACCATCTTGCTTTTGTGTTGCATTTCAAAAGGCTTGTTAAAACTGCAGATAACTTCATGTATGTGTGTTAATGACCGCACAGAGACGGTCCCAGGACTACTAGACTTTATATTTGTGCAGGAGAACAGAAACAAACAGCTTAAAGGAGCTAAAAAGTTAGTTGCCTAAGAATGCAGAGTTGTTTGTTGATTCTCAGTTGAATTAAAGAAACAGTCCCTTTAATCCTTTATGGGAAAAACAGGGTCCATAATGAGGCATGCTTAAATAAGTATAAGTATGTATTGATTGTTTTAAAGTGATACAGTCATGTTAATATCTAATACTATCTAGTCCATCTGAGAGAGAACATGTAACTACTTCAATACATAAGCACATAAATTAAGCAGTAATGGTTGAGTGTCAACAAAGGAGACTATCAGACTGAGACGCTCAAAAGCAGTGCTTAGCAATACACTTAACTACACACACACACACACACACACACACACACACACACACACACACACACACACACACATGCACACACATGCACAGGTTTAGACTCACTCACTGACATACTCCCTCCGTCTCTCTCAAACATTTTCTCAATGAACTATAAAAATAGGTTAACTCCAAGGACCTCACTGAATAGAACTTACATAAACGCACACGTCACTGAATTACATCACACATCATCATCCCGCCCGTCTGTGTGTGTATGAATTGGGGCAGAGCTTTGGATGTGTGTGTGTGTGTGTGTGTGTGTGTGTGTGTGTGTGTGTGTGTGTGTGTGTGGGGCTGTCTACTGGCTGAAGGGAGAAATCTGTTTGTTGAGTATTAAACACTGAAACAGAGCATCATGACTCTGCATCATGCTTCTTCCCTCTCACACACACAAGCATACACAAATGAATATTAGGTAACATATACAGCTCTGACATTGTGTTTCCCTCTGGTTGTAAGAGACCATTCAGTAAAAGCACCTTAGCCTCAGTTACATTGACTAACTTCATTGGCTGATGCTCGGTCTGGATTCACGCATGCGGACATGATTGGCCCTGGAGGAGTGCTGATTTGCATAAAGGGAACTCAATTGGTCGACTGCAGTGTAAAATCATTGACCTGTGTTCACTGCCACAAGAAGTTGGTTTCCAGTGGTTGATAACATGGTTCTCGGTCCTTGAGACAGACTTGAACTATCGGGCGGGAGGACTTTTTATTTTTCTGTGAACGAGTAGATACTTTTCGTCAACTTTCACAGTAATAAATATCAAATTGGAACATTGACTGCAACTTTTCATTTTCTAAAAACAGTAATGTGAACAGCTGTCTCTCAAGAATAACTGATGTGGACTCTCAATGTTTTGAGTATTGTGGTGCATTATGAATTTGAAATTGTTTCTTCAGATCATGTTTTTTTGTATTTAAGCCTCTGTTGTTAAAAAAAGCAACTTTGATAATCTCCTGTATGTGTTCAAATCACATAGATCAAACCATTTCTGTTTGAATTTAAACATGTCATGCCGTTATAGGACATTATTCTAGTTTGTAGTTTGTGTGTGTGTGTGTGTGTGTGTGTATGTGTGTCTATATGTAAAACACAGCCTGTACTTGGCATATGGGTTTTTAAAAAGGGTACTTCCATTGCCAAAAGTTTTTTCCAGACATTCCTCACAGTTTTTTTTATTCTTACTTCAGTTTCAGAGTCGGCAGGCTCGATATTAGACTCATTAAAAGTAACAATTTGGTATGAACTTCCGTTTTGCTTTAGGCTTTTTCTGTTTAATTCATTGAATGAAAATTCCTTATCTAAAGGTAAAATGTAAGTAATAAGGCTACCAAATAAAATAAGTGCAGCATGATGATTAAAAGGAAACTTTGTTTGGTAGTGGGATTGTAGGCTATATTGTCCTCATTCCTTTACTACAAAAATCGCTGCAAACGTGCCCTGGAAACTAACTCATTAAATTCCTGCCCGGCGCGCTGCTACTGGTCCCACAAGACAAGATGCTCTTTTTTTTCCTTCTGATGAATAAAATTAAGCACCCCTCTCTCTCTCCTCTCTCTCTCTCTCACTATAAAGCCGCAACAGCTGATCTGTGCATCAGAAAGAGCTCCACACGCGTCAAGGAGAGGAGACGAGAGGAGAGGAGAGGAGAGTAAAAGAGAGTAAGCGAGACGACGGAGGGATGAGCTGTCCTTGTCTTCCAACTGCAGGGTTTTTTTGAGCAATATTTTTAAGGAAGTGTGATGACACTGTGTCTGACGAGACGTTTTCTATACCCACCGGTTCTCTTTTTTGAACCCATTTAACCTTCAGTTGCTCTCTGACCGTTTGACGACCGTCACACCTGTTATTTTAACACTTCTTGTAAAGGCACGGGGACATCTTACGACTTGTTTCCGAAAAACATTTAGACTGTTTTGACTCACCCCCACAGGATTTTCCCACGGACTGTGTTTCTCTTCAAATTGAGGCTTTCTTTCAAAGCGTTGGAAACTTCTTTATTGTCTCTTTCCTCACCTTGACTCGAGCGGAGCTGTCCGGTGCTGAAACCGAGAGGCTGCAGGGGTTTGGATGACGAAAATAAACGGAGGCAGCGGAATAACCAAATAAACAAGTTAAAGTGGGACGTTTCTACGCTATTTATCACCTTCCATGTCGTCGGAATAGAAGCCAACACAGGAGTAGATTTATTTTCTTTTTCCCTTTCTCCCTCAGAGCTCCACAAGTCTTCTTCTGGTGATTTATCGTACGAAAAATCAATTTTGACCTTAGAGTTGGTATTCCACCAACTTCATCAAAAATAAATACTAGTTCGGCTACAAAAACAAGAAACACATGAGGAGCACTTGATTCCTCTAATATTTAAAAGCCATGTCTCCTCTTCACATTGGAAGCAGTTTGATTGGGGGGAGCAAACGCACCTTTTCTGAGACCAAGTAACACATTAAGGTTAAAATCAGACCATAACGAGTATCACCCACAAGTCGAAAGAGGGTTGGAAGAAAGAGGAAGACCGCCTGTGTTTATTTTTCGAGTGTCGGAACAACTACTGTCCCATCATGCCTCGCTCCTTCTTGGTCAAGAAAGTGAAACTGGACGATTTTTCGGCTGCAGAGCTGGAGTATGGTCACAGCAGAAGAGAAGAGCTCAGTCTGCGATTCCATCATCATGACAAAGGTCTGTCACCCTCCCACCCTTCACACACTCGCACTGTCTGCAATACATCATCCAGGGCATTTCTATATCCGCAGGTTTGAAGCATTAGTCATGGCTGTTTTCAGGATAAGGATAAGGAAAAGGGGGAATTATGGGGTCAAACTGTGGTCACATCCCAAAAATATAGGCTACAAATTGCAGGCATTGACATGCTCCTTTTCTTGAGAGGATGATTTGCATAAAACTGTGTTATGTAGAGAAACAGATCAGAGTGATCTGCTCCAGATGAACCATAAGAACCCTATAGGGATCTTAATATACTGATTGTTTCAAACAATATAGCCTAATGTGATCATTGTGTGCTACATAATGACACTCAATATGGCAAAGGTCAGGGCAGATCACAGGGTCTTAAACAAGTTCTTCATCAGGGTGCATATTTCAACCCAAAGTGTAAAGATATGAAATGTAACACATGAAGAATCACATTGAACATCTGTGTGATAGAAACCTTTGAATTCATAGACTAAATCTTATTTTTGTCAAGGTTAGGTTCTCTGTGACATGCATGGAAACAATCTGATGTCACAGATGGACAACTATCTTTATATTAAGCTGTAACACTTCACTTCCTTTTCTTTCACACTCTTTCATCCTGAAATAGAAGTACTCTTGGTTTTCATTTTATGCCAGCTTGTACTTATGGTCAAGCTGCTTCTATATACAATACAGAAAACACATTTTCAACTCAACATAGCAGCCAACAACTGCAGATGAAAAATATTACTTTATTTTTTTCTTATAATGAAAAAAAAGCTTCTGAGCAACAGGGAGCCAGGGAGCTTACATTTCCTGAAGGAAACCATGCCCAATAATGACATTATGTCATATGCACTGGGATTCTCTGTTGTTCTGGTGCCCAGTAAATTATTCAAATCAGGTGGTTTCCAGCAGCTGTGAGTCTCGCTACAAGATTTAAACATATTACGCAGCTACATTGATGCTAAATGGTTCCCACGCAGTGCATAATCCTGGATTCACAGGCAAAATACAATACAGAGTCAATGGGAATGGCTCAAACATTCAGGGGAGTTTTCAGCTATTGATAAATCACTGGCCAAACACTTCTGAACAGAAGCTAATATTTGCTCATGAAGGCTGTTGTTGTTTTGTTCTTGCGGTGCTCTGAGCTAAAACTGTCTGAACACCACTTAGGATAAAAGTGTCATCTTATCTAATGCTACAGAAATCTTTTTTGCATTCAAAGATGCACAGAGGAAGATTGTTCAATTTTGCAGCTTTTTGTTTCAGCCTTTTTAGCTGATTGTTTTGGTTTTATGGCACTTGTACTTTTGCATTCATGAAGTCTTATAGTCTCTTTTAGTGAAAGGTTTTGAATTTCTGGCACTTCTACAATAGTCTTATTGCTCTCGTAAACCCAGATTTAAGCAGGAACTCAACAAATCAATTTCAATAAAAAGAGAAAAGCTATCCTAAGATCAAAGTTTAACACCCTGTTGCTGTAGACTTAAAATATAGCAACCAGTGCCTTACATTTTTCATAGGACTTTATAGAGACCAAAATAAAACTTCAAATAAAAAGTTAATTTTAGACTTGTTATTTAGGAGCCAAAATAACAGGACTCCAGTAGGTTGATTATATTGCCCTTTTTTATGCTAAATGCATGAAGAGGAAATTGTAGGCATGATGGCCATTTCTTATTTACGGGACAGGTTCATGTATCAGTCAACCTGTTTCTGCCTCCTAGTGGTGGAAATGTTATCAAAGCATCTTTAAAGGACTTCAGGAAACACTGCAGCTGCCACAGTAGAGGAGGAGGTGAGTAACGCGTTAGTGCAGCCCGGTGGTTTTCACATTGTCACAAGGTCAAATGTGCACTGAAGAGATCCCAGGTGTTCTGATGTCAGGGTGAACAGAGACACATGCAGCAGAAGCAGTGCGGCAGGCATGTACAGGCTGAGACTTCTATCCCTTGATATAAATATAACAAGAGTTTGACTGAAGCAGCTGCCGCTTGTTGCGCGCACACACACACACACACACACACACATACAGACTGATACACACACAGAAATGCACATAAGCGTATACACTTTTACTGCGTTTCTGTCAACTCGGCACATTTCCCAGGCAGCTTGCACAGCTGAGTGCACCGCGTTAGACACACACACACACACACACACACACACACAGACAGAGAGGGAGCAGTCGGTGACCTACAAGTGTCCAGAGTGCACAAGTGTGCGTCAGTTACTGCTGGTTTGGATCAAAAATTAAATTGTACTCGCAGCTTTTCTCTCATACTCTTCCCTCTCATTGCCTCTCTCCATCGTTCTTTCTCTTTCTTGTTCTGTGTATTTCAAAGACACACACATATAAAAGAAAGACGGCTTTGGTTTGGCAGAGTATTTTAATCTTTAATAAGCATTTAGAAGTGCTATCAGCGCTAATGTTGCTAAAGTGCTTTGAAAGGACTACAGAGTCGACAGCGAGACAGAGACGGAGACGGTCGGAGAGAGACAAAGACAAACAAACAGACAGCACGCAGACGTTGAGACAGAGAAAGTACAGTTTTTTTTATAAGGAGAATATTGGGCAAACTTTAAACTTTAAACCCTGCAGACCAGGAATGGAGTTTGTTTCCATTTCTGTAATTCTCAGTCTGAGCCAAAGTATTTTCCCTGCACTGAAATCAAGTTCATGATAGGTGACATGATTCACTTCACAAGCTGTTTTAAACGAGAGCCAAAACTTATGTGATTGTGCCAGTCGTCACAAAGTCTGTCATCCATCCATTCAACACTCAGTGGTCTTACACATGTCGTCATGACAACTACACTAATAAACAGAGATCAATGACATTAGGTGTAGATTGAAGTTACTTGTTAAATGCAATGTTTATATAACACTTTGACATTTAAAAATGAAGTGAAATATATATAAAATGCAGAACTAATCCTTGCCATTATGTTTTGAGAAAAGCAGACAGATACCAGGAGTGTCAGGTCAGTCCACGCAGAGAGGGGTTCAGGTTGGATTAAAGCAAACACAGACTCTCAGTCATAAAATGTGGATTTGTGTCCTGTGTGCAAACCTTAATGTTGAGGTATTAAAAATAACAAAGTAATGAAATCAGTACAATGTTGAGGTTCTTTCACTTCATTTGACCTGATCCCAAAGAGAAACATAAAGAAATATATACATTTATTTGACAGCTGCTATTTGACAACATTTATTTAGACACTAGTTACTCTTCAATTGAAGGTTTCAAAAGCAATATATGAGGAATTAAAAATATGATACAGTGCTTTTCTATCAATCTAATTAATCAGATGTGATACATGACCTAACATTACGGGTGAGAATGTTATATTATGATACTTTAAACACAATTTGCTTACAATATTAAAGTGCTTTTATGTGCATGCTTCCTCTCTTAATAATTCTTTTAATCACTACATTTTTACACTTTGAAACATAATGTTCCACTGGCTGAAGGAGTGGTTATTTTGATGTTATTCCACCTTTGATATTACTTTTTTTTTGAAGGAAACAAATCTGTCTGTTGTGTCTACTGTTTCACTACGTCCTCCAGCTCAGTAAAATGCTGAGAAGCCGCCCAGCGCCCTCCAGCGTGTAGATTGACAGATTTTTAGTGATTATGACGTACTTCAACATCAGAGAGGCCGAGGCTGGTCTCAGTCAACTTAATAATGGTGAAAAATGAACACTTGGTCATGTTTCAAAGCTTTGCCCATGCTCTATAAAACAAGACACACACACACACACACACACACACACACACACACACACACACACTTTGTCCCAGAGTACAATGATTGAATATTTATGATTCATGATTTCTTTTCCTCCTCTCCCCCTCCTTCCAACTTCTTCTCTTTTCCTTTCCTTCTCTCCATAACCCCGTCTTAATTTAATTCTAAAATGTTAAATCGGCATGAGGGCTGTTAGCAGCTTAGCCAAACCACCTAACCACAATCATTGTCTTGGTTGGAACCACAACTTGAACCCTGCTAAAAAAAAACGTTTCTTCCTGCCTCAGTTCTTCCTTCCTTTGTTTTCCCTCAGCTGTCTATCTGCGCGCTCCACTTCTCTTCTCCTTCCTGCCTCGTGTTCCATCTCTCTCCGTCTCTTGTTCTCATCATATTATCGACCAACTTTTGGAGCTTTCTCAGAACTGCATCATGAAATTACATTACCAGCAATAGTATCTCCTCTGCTGCCTGTGTCTGAATGCTCACAGAGTGCTAATTGAAACAGAGAGCTTATTGATCAGCATGGATCCACAGGAGTCACGGCTGTGGGGTATTAGCTACCAGACTTTTTCCTTGTGTCTACTGGAGCTCAGCCTGTTGAGTGTTAAAGCCAATAATAGAAATAATGAAGCTGCTGACTTCATAACGCAGCAACAAATAATTCATCAGTTTTGTCAGGGAATATGCAGGTAGCTCAGAAAATGTTTTGAGGCTATTCTACATGAAGAAAAGTGAAGCGTTATGGCCAGTGCACAGATGAATGCAGTCGGTGTCAGGACACCCTTGAGCAAAGCATGACTATCCCAGCTGCTGTAATAGAGATGCTCTGTGAGCAGCAGTAGATATTTTTGACAGCTCAGAGGTGTGACTGCGTAGCTGCGGACCTGTCAGGATAGGTGCAGTTGTTGTGGAGAGAGTGTGCTCACTGAACCCTCGTGTGAAAAATAAAGATTTCCCGCTGAGGGGAAAGTGTCTCCTCCTGGCTGGAGAAGACATAAAAAGCACTTTAGTGCCACTATAAATACCTCAAACTCTTCTTCTCTGCTTTATAGCAGCTCCAGAAATTGTTTTTTTAGCAATCTTACAACAGTGTCTCGTGTGTCTACTTTTGTCTTCATATAAAGGCATGTGTTAAACAATAGTTAATGTTCAAACATGATGCAGATGTTGTTAATATGATCCTGGGGGGGTCCGATTGATATTTAGAAACCAGAGACGCCAGGCTGCAATCAACAACATTATCAGGAGACAACATGTCTCTCTGAATAATGAATGAACTCAAGTGTACAACTTTGATTTGTGGCCTGTGTTTTTACAATTATGTGAAATCTTTTTAATCGTGTTGGTAACAATGGTTCTCCTCCATGGGGCTCTCGGGATGACTCAAAAACATCCGCAGAAACAAATAGAATAATAGAATAGAATAGAATTACTTTATTGATCCCAAACTGGGAAATTGTGGTGTTACAACAGCATTTTATCAGAGCAAATACAAAAATATAAGAATAGATACATATTAAATAAGCACTTAAAATATATTTAAAAAAAAGAATAAGAAGAGATTTATACATCAAGGATTTAACTTAGCATTCTTACTGGTTAAAAAAATGAAAAATGAAATTCAACATTTATTCAGGCTTGTCAACTGAATGTAAAAATACTTGCTGGAGGAAAGAGATGTACGTTTGCAAAAACAGTGATGACAGTGGTAAATATGTAGTAACAATAATAAAAACAAACTGCATATGTTTGTACCACTTATTATCCTCCTCAGTAAAGATAAAGCTATCTTTTTTCTTATGACTGACTGCATGTTAGTGTTGTGATTATTTTTTTTTAAATGTTGATTTGTCAGAATCTACATAGTTATCACAATAAGCTAAGTTAAACACAACATTATTTCATGAACTGAGTGTTTAATAGTTTCCAACTTCATGTTTAGAAAGGGTTGATCATATACTGCTTTATCTCCAATGTATCACTTCCTGTTTGCCTACCCTCCACTGGTGTGTCCTCAAAGGTGCCTGTTGCCTTTTACTCGAATCCTAAAGAAAGAAAAAATAAATGTTCAGTATGTTTAAGAGGATTGGACCTGGATGTTTGTCACCATCAGGATACAAGCACTATCTCATGCAATGCTAGTGATACAATTATTCTGTAACTTTGTGGGCTCTGTAGGGTACAGAAATGATTTCACTGCAATATAATAATAGAAAAGGAGATATTGTGAGAATTTTTTAAAATTTTATTTAACCTTTATTTAACCAGTAAAAAGTCTCATTGAGATTAAAAACCTCTTTTACAAGAGCGTCCTGACCAAGACAGGCAGCAGCACAATTACAGGGTTTCAGACATAAAACACATAAATACAGGAATCACAAAAAGAACCATTCATCAGAATCTGTCATAAGTCATCAGCAACAAAGTGATCAAAAAGTGCTATACGAGTTAGCTAAAACATCTACAGTCAGATATTTCTGCCTCCAGATCATTAAGACCACCTTTAAAAACATTCAAGTAAACCAGCTCCCCAAGATTTAAAGTATCAAGTAGTACTTGAACGTCCTTTTTCCTAATTCAGTACGGGCTTTAGGGATGGTTAGAAGGTGTAAATCCGGTCTTTAGGGGCTTGTTAATTGTAAAATGTGAAAGGGAAGGCATCAAGGATCTTGTTGACGAATGCATCTTTCCTCCCTGGTTTCACTTTTGTGTCACTCATTTTGTTTCCAAGTCAAGATTTTCTAACCAATCAGTTTCTCATTCCCAAATCAATCTCCCTGTCATTGCTAAATGATTGACCTCGTCCTCTCTCTCTCTCCTCAGGCTATGTCAGCGATTATCTGAGTCCGTCTCCTTATGACGATGTGGTTGGAAATGACTCCTCTGTCATCTCTAAAGTACCCTCCCCCAGCCACCCGTCAATCATCTACGGACGCATCGATGACACCTACTCCGGCATTCACGAAGACATCCATGGAGATTCTGACCAGCCGGACAGCCCGCGCTCTGAGGCGTCATCATCGGCCGGCGGTTACATCAACGGGGACGCAGCCGTCAGCGAAGGATACTCGGTGGACGCGTTTTTCATCATGGACGGACGGTCGAGGAGAAAAGCCGCGGCTAGCGCTCGAGGAGCTGCCCAGAGGCACAGCTGCAGTGAGTGCGGCAAGACCTACGCGACGTCCTCCAACCTGAGCCGGCACAAGCAGACGCACCGGAGCATCGACAGCAAGATGGCCAAGAAGTGCCCGACGTGTGGCAAGGTCTACGTCTCCATGCCGGCGATGGCCATGCACCTCCTCACCCACGACCTCAAGCACAAGTGCGACGTGTGTGGCAAGGCGTTCAGCCGGCCGTGGCTCCTGCAGGGTCACATGCGCTCGCACACGGGTGAGAAGCCGTTCGGGTGCGCGCACTGTGGCAAGGCGTTCGCCGACCGGTCTAACCTGCGGGCTCACATGCAGACGCACTCGGCCTTCAAGCACTACAAGTGCAAACGCTGCGACAAGACGTTCGCACTCAAGAGTTACCTGAACAAGCACTACGAGTCTGCATGTTTCAAAGGGGCCTTCTCCCCAATCAGCTCAGTGGGGGAATGATAAAAGTCAAAAATAAAGTTGACTGGACATTTTTTAGTTTCTAAACACATCTGACTGGCCTAAACCGCTCCCAACAAGATGACCAGTAATGCCTGAGTACTAACGTGGGGAGTGTTTTTTTCAAACCACAAAAAATAGTAGTTTGAGGATCTGTTCCTATCAAGACTCCTCCCATCCCTCCTCGGTCTCCTCTTTCCTTATCTGGAGGTAAAAGTTTCAGATGCTTGATTTAGATAACCACCTGCGTCAATACAATACGTCCCTCTCCTGAGGTGGTTTTAGTATCTGTGAAGATAAATAAAGCACAGCACATCTAGCTCATCACTTTTGAAGATCTATTTACGTCCATATCTATCCCCGTCCCACGATGAAACCACTCTGAAGCACAATCCCTCTCCCATCTCTTTGTCTTCCCGAGACAGGAATATCACAGGACTTAAAAAAAGCATGAATCACATCTTAGTTTTCTTGCAAAGAGATTCAATGAACTTTTGTATTTACTGCTTTTTTTAAAAACACAAACATATAATCTAAGGGTACGTCGAGTATCCTGCTTTTGAAACTAACCTTGGACTGAATGTTTGAAAAGATAAAAGCAACAAGACAAAGAAATGACACGTCATTGGTTCCCCGTAAGCAAAACAAAATACTTGTAAAGTTTTTTCCTTTACACCAGCGACACGCCCTGTCTACTGTGTACTGGGTCAGTTATGGCTTCTACAGTATTACATCTACAATGAACTGTCATAGTGTCACTCTGAAGTTGGGAAACGTTATTTTTTATTGTGATTTTCTCAAAGCCAATGTCTTAAATGGAAAGTTATTGTTTGTTGTTTTGGGGATTTAAACATTTTGAGCTTTAGTTGACAGTAAACAGTGGAGAGTGAGCAAGAATAAGTTTGACAAACTGGATTTCTGAGCCACCAGGGTATTCACAAACAGTGTTTTTCTACAACCTTCACCTGATGTTATTTATGTTAACCTGTCAGTGTTAGAAGTCAGACATTGAAAATGATCTGATCTTCTCCAAAAGGTCAAACCTTTCACAGATTGTGTTATGATGTTTTTGTTGCCAATGGGCCACACAGTCTTACTCTTTGATTTGTATGTCTTTTTTTTTACGTCTATTTATTGCCTAATTTATTCTTATGTTTTTGTCGATGTTTTGCACTTTACTTTGTTGTATTAATTTTGCCTTTGTTAAATAATATGCCAAAGCATTTGACACTTTCTAATTACCTTTTTATTTTTTGTCCGACACTTTAATTACAAAAAAAAATACTGCATGCAAAAAATAACAATAACCTAATAATGGAATCTATGCCAATTTTATGAATCTTTGGGATATTTTTTGCCAAACCTCTTAGATAAACAGGCATATTAAGTCCATTTCTGTCTTGGGCAATATTTCATTGATATCCGATAGAGCAATAATGCATGATATTTTTGAAGAGACTTGAGTCATAACTGCTTGTAACATCTTGATTTTTTTTCAAGCACTATTCTATGTAGTTATGAGAAATGAAATTTCAGGGAGTTAGCGAACCAAGTTAGTGTTAAGTACGGAGGGTCGGGTGGAGAGCTCGGATTTAGAGGGATTGTGCAACTGTTGTGATGCTCCGAGGCTTTCTCTGATGGCTTGAAAATTAGAAAAATTAGCAAGATCGTAGAGTCCTTTTCCCCCAATTTTCTCTAATTGTTGAGTATTTCATATTATCCATAACAGTTGCCTCCTAATAATAACTACATGTTGGCATCATTAGCTTGTGTCAGCATTAGGGGCTGTCGGGGCTTCCAAGGGTTCACACAGATGGCACAACTCCTTTAGGTGGAGGGCTCTGGGATGAGTCGGGACGGGTCTTTTGTACATGGATTATGCACTGCCTGCCTCGTATTATTACTCTAAAATATTGTAGAAAGTAGAAGGTACTGTAGGCCTCTGGTGCTGAAACATGGATGCACATAATAAACCCCTAATGATTTTGGATTGATATAAAAGTCCACTTTATCCCATTGAAAGGTCACTTTTACTTCCAGGCTTTCCAAGCCTTAATGATCGAACTCTATGTGAGGAATCTGAAGCTAACATGCTCCCTGCACAGTCTCTGGTTGTTTTTTTCTTTCCCATCAACCCTGGCTATTGTGAGGTTGTTGTGGTGATCCCCAATGCAATTAAAGGAGAGTTGAGAAAACATTGAGTCAATATTTCAGCACCAGAGAGCACCAACAAACACTTAGATTCTACTATGAACTACTGTAGCCTACTATAGCCACAAGCTAGTTTACCTATTCTTATATAAAAGCACTTCCTCTTATGGATTATATCTTAAAACTTTTTTTTTTTTTTGTGTTCAAAGATAGTAGCACAATGGAAGAGTTTAGTTTCAGGTAGAAAATGCCTTGTATGTAGAAATATAAACCTCTTTCTCCTTTTTCTACTATGACAAATCAAAGGTCCGAACAGCAACGATGCTGAAATAACACGAGACGTGAGCGACAGTTGGTTTAAAGCAACACCTCTACTACATGTCGACATGTTTGTGTTACTCGCTACACAGCCGTGTGAGAGCATCTTCATCACCACACCTTTTATAAGAGCGAATGAAAAAACTCGACTATTTTGCGGCAAGAGGCCTTGTATATAAGCACTGATGTGTGACTTTGGAGTACAATTCTTTCTACGGATCTGCATAGAGTGACAGTGATGATGATGAGGATGAGGATGATGATGAAGGTGATGATTTTTCTGGAGCTTCCTGCTTTGTTTTGAGTTCTTCCTCTGAGGGTTTTTTTTTTGGGACCTCCTGTGGCGGTTCCAAATAATGTAAAGCACAAACAACACTGGGCATTTTGTTTCACTTCCTTAATAAAAACTAGTTTGAAAAGAGTTGTGTCAAGAAATCCTTTTCTGTGCTGTACAAGTGTTAGCATTGTGATCAAGATTTTTGCTGTTTTTCATTGTCATTGGACCCTTTTCTTATTATTCATAATGAAGGTATTTCAACTGACCAAATCTGATTGTGACCAGGGACCTATGAAGACCTCGTCTTCATTATACAAATTCTACATGAATACACTGCTTTTAAGGTATAATCTATGGATGTAGCTTCATAAGTGATTGAGCTGAAGGACAACAAAGAATACGAGTCCACAGCTTTGAGCTAGATGCTACTGCTAATGTCAGCATATTTACATGTTCTCAATTAATGTACCTCCATGCATGCTAATGATACACTATTAATCTTCTGAAATTGATATGGATAATCTAAACAGTATAATAAGGATTACAGAAAATATTTGGATATACTGTATATATATATATATATATATATATATATATATAGTGCATTCAGAATAGGGTTTTTGCATGGGCTCTAGCCTGTATACTATCCACTCTGCAAGGTAGTGCTTGAGATGTGTGTACAAAGAACAAGCCAACATTTCTGGTCTGAAGGAGAGAAACACCAACAATTGAACAAGTTTGAGGATATTTTTCAATATTGAAGGAAGAAAAAAAAAGGGGGATTCAAAGTTTGCTCTATGATGTCGTCATTACATGAATCAATCATAAACTGCAAATATTAATGGACAAAGTCTGAGTGACGTCACCCATCTGTTACGACAGGGGGCTCATTGTCGGCAGCCGTCATGCTGGAAATGCTGTCTCAGCCTAACTTTGAGTCAACCTAATGAGAGGCTGAGCTGAGGCGGGTTGGAAGCCTTTTGATAAAGCTTTACATTGCGGCCATGTTCAGTCATGTCAGTTACATGCCTAACTCTGGATAACACGTAGTGTTCATAAAATAAAAACGGAGCTGTTTTAAAAAAATGCACCCCCCGTTCTTTTTAACAGGCTGTAAACATGTTAATTTCTGCTGTAAAAACAGGCTTATTTGGCTGTAGTGTGTAAGTGACTTCAGGGGCTCCTGGAGCCAGCTTCAAGCAGACAATCGATGAACAGCAGTTTTTTCCGCACTGACTTCATTTTTCAAGACCGATGTTGCCGCTTGGAATCAATGCCTATACATCTCGGTGTAAATGGTATCATCATTGGAATATGTTTTATTTGCCATATAAACAGCTTGGTAGGATAATCTCCTCATGGAGTACAGCCAAAATAGTATAATGTAAAAAGAGACTGTAGTATCGTGGTATATAGAATAATATTGACAAAGGAAACAATCCTACTTTATTATGCATGCTCAGAATGATACCAGACACAAACAACAGCTGGTGCTGATGCACACAAAAATATGAAGAAACAAAAAATCAAACCTATTTTTAACGAGCAGCGCCTGAATTACTGAAAATAATTTCATGATAATGTGTTCACATTATGGTCGCCTTAAACTCAACAAATGTCAATCTGCTCTGGTGTTATAGGAAATGTTAGGCTTCATTCTCATGGCACCATGGATATCTGTATTAATGTTCATGGAAATCCATAAACTTGTTGTCAACATAACTCAGTCAGGACAAAAAAAAAAAAGGCTTTAAAAAATAAAAACCTATCCCAAGAGGCAAACAGCTAACGTGGTTAACAATTTATATCTAAGCAGAGCTGAGATAACACATTATGCAACTGTTTTCATAGCTGAACAATTCAAGATGGGTACAGTGACTTTCATGTGTAAAAACCAGCGCAGTGACCCTTTAAACAATGTGCTTATGTTTATGTGCATGTTATCAGCTGTACTGCGAAGGTCACAGAGTGCGTCACATTGATCTTTACAGCATCCATACATAATCATGTTTGCTCTGAGGTAATAATAAACATTTCAAAAGGCTCCTCAAGACAACAAGCCCTACAGTGTTAATTAATCATTAGCACATTGATCATGTAAAAAAAATTACATGGTTAAAAGTTTCATCGATGTTTTTTAGGCCTCCGTGCTTTCATTACTCAGTAAACGGTTAATTAGTGTTTGTAAAACATTCATTAAGATGATTTGCCTCCAGTATGAAATACAGCAAGTGATTATTATTTACAATGCGCTCTCTCTCTCTCTCGCTCTCTCTCTCTGTTTTTCCTCATGGCGACTGAGCAGAGGTCAAAATCTTAACAGTGTGCTTGTGTGCATGTGCGTGAGTGTGCATGTGCGTGAGTGTGTGTGTGTGTGTGTGTGTGAGAGTGTGTGTGGTTGTGTGCATGTGTGTGTGCATGTGAATGAGTGTGAGTGTGTGTGGTTGTGATTTAATTGCTTGTGGGGGGTCTCACATATGAACAGAGAAGCTGATGTAAGGGCAATGCCTTTAACCTTGATAATACTGCCACACAATGTGTGTGCGTGTGTGTGTGTGTGTGTGTGTGTGTGTGTGTGTGTGTGTGTGTGTGTATAGGTGTATACTTAGCTCTATGTGTGAAATATTTAGTTTTATTAGACAAACTCAGTTGAAATGTTCTTAATGTTGCTATTAAATCGTAAGGTGAAAAAGGTGTAAAGGTTTTAAATTTGCATTCAGCAGCCATTTTGGATTGAATACAATAAATGAAACGTGCTTTTATATTAAAAATAATAACGGTAATGACTCTCCTGTTGATGTATGTAATTTACATTTTCAGATTGAATATCAGGGATGTCTCATATTTTACAAAGTAATACAACAATTTGTAAGCCATATATATGTCTTATGTAAAAACAACGACCTCCATTACTAAAGAAAAAGGTTATTATGGAACAGTGTGAGAAGCATAATAACAAAGCATGTGTCAAAAATGTCCTTGTAAAAGTATCATCTGATGGTTTTAAACTCTGACACATCAAGACATAAAGTGTGTAGTACTCCTAGCCGCTATGTTGACCTAAACTTTTCAAACTATATGCTAACATAAACATGCTAGCTACCTTACAGTGGCTATGCTAACACATTGAAGTGTAGCAGATATTTTTCATCAAAAAATCTTTACGAACATTAACCCTCCAAACTGGCTTCATCAGATGACCACCCATTAGCTTTAGCTAGCGTGACTAACCAACATGCGCTCTCATTGGATTATTTGATTTGGTCTCCACACAGTTTCATGGATTACTATTGGCCATACAGAGGTTTCCATTGACTGCAATTGGCTACCATCTGTCAGTCCTTTACTTCTTAAGACAAATGACCTTCTATTAAAAGGTGATTGATTTTCTCCTATTCCTACTAAAGATATTGATTTTCTTACACTGCCTTTGGTCCGCTAATGATACTAATTCTAACACTCAGTGGACCTGAAAGAAAGGCTTCCTAGCTATAATAGCTACTGTCAATGTGTGTATGGGGCTCGGTAGGTGTATTTTATGCAAACATCTATGAAATCCATACGAGCATTATTTTACTCTGTGTGATACTCTACATTACCTAAGTCTGAACCGGTATGGATCCACTGCAACAAATGGAGTGTCACAGGTGAGGTAAAGAGGAAGCATCAAAGAAATAGGAACAGATTTTTTTCAGAGTTGTTCCTACACAGTCAGTAGTTGTTGAAAGCTTCTGCTCAAAAGTTTGTTGCATCTTTCAATTGTTACATTTTGAAACCAAAGTTAAAATGCATAGCTTTTGTTATAGTGAGTAAGGCATGAACCTGAAGAAACACATGTTACATTTATTGATAAAGTATATATAGGTCTATTGGTCAGTTGGCTGAAATATCTCAGGATGTTTATGAGTGAAAAATGTCCCAAATGATCATCTGGAACATCACAAAATCTGTTATAGACTTATATGGTCCAAAGAAGTGGATTTGTAATAACTTGACAAAAACTGAATTGATTTGCGACCTAATACCTGTGACATCCAAAAAAAACCATATATGCCCCTGTTTCACATTGTGTCAAACAAAAAGCATCAATGTTAGAACATTATTAACTAAACACGTTAATGGCCAACATCAAGCCTGCTACATTAACATTATTTTATCTCAAAATTCTTGCTAAGCTTTAGACATTCTCATCCGCTTTTGACTGTCCATGTGAGCATGTTAGCATTTTGCTCAAAGCACCAGAGAAGCTAGCACAGCAGCTGAACTTTAGCATTTTTACTAGAACTATAAAGAAGCAGTCGTAAAATAACCCTTCTAAAGAATAAGTAATTTTTTAACATTTTTTTTTTTTTTTATTAACTCTTATATGCAGACGACATCCAGAAAGGCAGTGAATAATGTTACATGTCATGTCAATGGAATGTGCAGCAACTACATTTTCACCTTTTACAGGTGTTTTGCGTTTAACTGTCTGAAATAAATGTATTTTTGTATTTAATGGACCTCAGTTAGAAATAACTCTAACTAACTGTAGTCTATTCCAAATGACATGGACTTCATCTGTATGCTAAAGACGGATGGAGGAAGGACAAAGCCAGAAAAAAACAGAGAAATATCACATACAGAGGATATTTTATTTATCGCTCCAAAGCATTTAAATATGCTAATTCCTGTTTCCCATGGTGTCTGACCTTCTACTCTGCAGAAGGTGAGGGGTTTAAATAGTTTATTCTCAGTCCCTGAGTAGTTTTTACTTTAAATCATTCATAAAGTAGAAGAAAGGCTGTGAAACTCAAACATACACAGAGAGCACCACTAATAAAACTGTTTCATAGCCCTGTCATAGGAATAATCTGGCCTGAGAAGAAGATGTCACGAAACTGAAGATGAGCCTGTTTAATATAAATCATTGCTTAGTTTTCTGGGAAATATGCGTCCATTGAGTTTTTTATGAGTTAGTATCTTGTCCCCGAAGCAATCTTTGATTTTACCATTACTGACTGGAGATGTGTCTTCACACCTGTAGGATCCCCTGTGGTTAAAAAGTGAGAGCTCATCCCACAGTGAAATGGGTTTCAGAAGCTCCCAGGTGATTGGTCTCATATTTATTCATATCTAGTATCACATGCTGAGGTGTGAAGAAG